CGATTGAAGGACCAGCTAACAAGCTACAGTAAGATGAAACATGACAAGGAATGTGAAACAAAGATTTTGGAGACTTACATTCTCTTTCAAATATTTGAATCTTTCCTAAGCCTATTGTACCAGCAGCAGAACTTGGCAGTGATCTAGTATATTGATGCATAATGTGTATATAATGAATAGCAAGACTAGTGATCCTTACAGTAACTTTTACACTATAAGTTTGTTTGATCTTTGTCGGCACTGCTGTCTCCATCTCATCACTCAAACCAAAAGCTGGGAAAAAAATACGTGATGTAGAGACAATACTGAGGCTGCTTAAACAGTATGTAAGTGCTACGTTAGAAGAACACTGGAAATCTCTAGCCAATGTGATTCTACTTATCCAGATGTAAATGTATATTTGCCATGAAGAGAAAAATCAGAGGCAGATCATCCAGACTAGCCACACAGTACAACTCCAAAATTAAAAGTGATGGCTCTTATGGGAAACGTAACTTTTATATTCGAAAGTCATTCGTTGAGAAAGCAGTACTAGGTCTTGCCTGGAACAGCCTTCCTTGCAATGAAAGGCAAGACTTGTGTAAAAGAATCTTATTAGGGCCCTATTTATGATGTGGTTACCCTGCTTGTGTATTCAGGTGCTAGCTCTGTGCTAGCATCTGACTAACAAGTGTTGTGGCAGCACCATTGCCTGCTGACAAAGAAGCTGATCAACACATGGCAGAACTGGGCTCCATGCTAGCGATTTGGTCCAAAAATCCCTCATGCTCATCTCTAAAGAAACAAGAAGAGTATCACTTACAGATGGAGTAAAACGTATAAGCAGTCTTGAAGAATCTACTATGAAAGAAAAGCCTTATAATGTACCTCAGGAAATGGCTCCTTTTGTATGCAAGAGAAAACCATTTCTGGTTTTGGCCTATGATTACTACCTGTAAGTAGTACTACCTACATATTTCTCTTGCATGTGATTATCAGGAAGGTAGAAATGCAGTTTACATCTCACGTGTAAGGAAAAGGTGCATAGGAAGTATTAATTTATTTTTGGAAAGATTATCTGTTTTGAGAGGCAGCAGGTTTCTGGTTATTTGATTTAAAAAGAGTTCACACACACAAAAAATAAAACTTTGTTTAGAAATATTGATTGTAAAACCTTACAGGATTTGTCTGCAGAAATTTTCTGCTTTTTTGAAGATTTTGTGTATTTTATTTGGTATGAAAAATAACACTAGTCCCACAGCAAACTTTTGGTTAAAGATCATTCAAATCAGTACCTAGCTCACTATGCCATGCAAGGTCTCACAGAGTTGAAGAATCTCCCTGTTGACCTCTTTTTATCCCTTGTCCTGGACTGGGAGCAGGAAGAATATTGATTGAAGAAAACCTGGGTATTTTAGAGATTATCCTGTTCCATCATCCTGTCAGATCTCCACCTGCAGCCCACAGCAGCCTGCACTGTGTTTTGTACTTTTTGTGTACTCTGTACATCTTTGTACACTGATTGGTGCCTGGTAGCATGCTCAGGGCTGCCACCCTCACATTCCTCATTTCTGTGTTTTAACTTCCCAAGTTTGTCATGGTTAAAGTTGACATCTTCATCACTTAATAGGGACGTTTCATCATTTAGACCATTTCTCATTTTCTACACTTGAGAAGAAAAAAAAAAAAAAAAGAAAAAAGCAACTTAGATTTTCTTCAGTTTAACTGTTGTATATTATTTATTTATTCCCTTTAAACCTCTTGCAACCCACAGTCACTTTCTACAATTTCTAACTTACAATGCACATCTATTATACCAGATATCTTCTGTTTTGTAGATGTTTTCTTTGTAATCTATCCCTGTCTGTTTGGCAAATGTATTCCTTCGTCACAGGATGATGCCTTTAGGAGTATCTTGGCTAACATCCTTACACAGTTTCCAATTAATATTCTCCCAGCAGACATCTTACAGTGGCCTTCACCTTTATATAATTATGCCTTCCAACACATGAAGCATATATATTATTGGTTTGGACTTAGTTCTGTTTGCAAGTAACAAATGTGATCAAATAATTATCAGTTATATCTAAGCTATGAGTAGTTTAAGTTCTGTGCTCAATTCCTTTTTATTTGTCTAGATGAGGTCTAATATAGAATTTCCTTCCATTGGGTGCAACATTTCCTTAAGTTAGGAAACTGACACTTAAAGTGTTTTGAAATTCCTCGTACTTTTTAACACCAGCAGTATGAGATCTCCAGCATGTGAAATTCATCATGGTAAAGGAGTGTTTTCCCTATATGTTGTAGACAGTTAAGGTATGGGTCATGCTGTTCTCTAGTGTGATTTGATAGCTAAGTACCCTGTCAATTTCTAGCTTATCTGTTAGAACACTGACCCATAAACATTCAAGATCGTGTGCTTCCGATTGCCATCAACTCAGAAACAGGTAATGCCATCTTTGAAGTGCTTTCTGTCCACTTGATCCTTCCAAAATAGATTATAACAATTGATTTTGACGTGCCAGTTTTCCAAACAGTTTTAGCAATAAAAGCTGGGTCAAATCTGTGCTACAAAATGACCTCTTCCACTGGTGACAAGTTTCCAGCAGTGGAATGGAAGCTTCTGTAAAACCGGTGCTCTTTGTATTCTTTGATATCCTGATTATGGATATCTTTTTCATATTAAAAAAAACCTTTGTTGGTTCCTTCTCACTAGTTCTGTTTCCTGTAAGCTGTTGGACTCTCTAGCTGATCAGTATAAGAGCTCTTTTGTTACAGACATCAGGCTTGCACCATAGACAGTGATAGAGTTTTCCACAATCCTAAAATCTCTGCGCTACTCACTTAGATTAAATCTGGGCTTATATGCTTTCTGGTTTTTATTACTCGATAGACCTGAAGGACCGTCTGAAAAGGTCCTGAAAGAAAATAAAACTTGTTCACAGCTGTGACCCTTTAGTTCGAGACGAGTTAACGTTAAAAACCTTCAGCTGCGCTGGGTTCGCGCATCTTCCGGAGCTTATAAGGTCTAAACTCAGGCTTAGTCGCTCTCTGGGCAGCCTCTCACCGCTCGCTACCACCCTCGGCACCGCCCGCCCCCGTTGCCATGGCTGGGCCGGGAGCGTCGGCACCAAAAGGCTGCAGGGCCGCCGCGCCGTGCTCGGGATGGGGGCTCCGCGCCGCTGCTTTTCAGGTGCGACGCGAGGGGACGCGCCGTCCGCGACCCCTTCGACCCCTTCTCCTCCCCCCGCCGTCCTTGCGGGGCGGGTCCGCCATTTCGCCGGGGGGGGCCGCGGCCAAACGGCCGCTATCCGCCGTGCTGCGGTGGACGTTCGTGCGTTAGGCGAGTTCCGGCGCTTTTTTTCGGGGGGGGCTGAAGCAGCGTTATAGGAAAAGGCTTCGGGTACGCAGGTGGTTAATGAGCTAGGGGGAAAAATGAACGCACAGGTCTCGTAGCCAGTTAAGCCAGCCGGAGCTTGTGGTGGTGCAGCCGCTCCTGGCTCGGTGCTTCTGAGCCCCCTGCCTGCCCTGTCCCACCGCTGCCCGCAGTCAGCCCTCCTGCTTGCCAGACTGAGCAGCTGTAGTGAGACGTGCTCCAAAAGTAAGGGGCTTGCAGCGAGCTTTGCCTCTTCTCTGGGCTCCGATGTTGGTATGAAGTTTACTTACCGTTCCTCGTTGAATAGCATCTTCCTCAGCAGAGATCTCCCTTTCTGTGTTGCTTCTGGATGCAAATCTGCACTTTCTGTAACAAGTGTGGTTTTCTACACTGATGAGATACCAGTGCTTGTTGTAGACTTTGCTTTTAGTTTTGTAATGTTTTTTTTTTTTCCCCAATGATACACCTGTGTAAAATGGTGCTGCCTCCAATTGTAAGTTGGTTTACTTTAATGTTTTCTTTTTCTTTGTAACAAATTTAGTACTACAAGCGCTAAAAGAGTGACTCAGAGGAACTAACCATATTCTGACATCCTTTCAATCCATAGTTTATTGCTATTTCATTCTAAGTAACAATTTTAAAAAATTAAAAGAAAAAAGCTTCATAATAAATGTAACAAAATACTTCATCAGTGAAATGGCTTTCATTCACAGAAAGGCTTTTAAATAAAATATTCTTCTGATACCAGTCATCAAATTGATTTGTATCTATCACTCCCTTCCCACGAAAAGAATTTTCTTCCACTAAATGCTGCAAATAGTTAACTTCTTACTCTCCTTTCCTCTTCTCCTCCCCCCCCTTATATTCTATTTTCCTGTCCCTATTAAAAGTTTCTGCCTTGAGGCCTACCAGCAGGGCATGCAATACCTACATTAAACCAAATTTAAAAGTGAGGGTGCTCCTGCTGCTAACGTCCTCAGATCACAGACATGCAAAATGAAGGAACTGGCAGCTGAAACTTTAATGGTAGGAAGTGCAGGCTGAATACTTGGGGAAAAAACACAGTAGCTCTCTATGACAAAGAAGTCCTATTAGCATTTATGTACTTCAAAATGACAAGCTAGACAATTCTACATAACTGTGGGGCTTTCTGCTTTTGTTTTAAGTAAAATCCTACGTTGCGTGTATAAAATTACTTGGATTTTTCTACTCACATGCTTGTTACTGGGACAATTATGTATTATTTTGAACATTAATTCACTGCCTTTTGTAGTATTGCACATTGTACGTTCAATCATTTCTTCACCTTATGTACCTGCATAGATTATTAACATTTGGACATACCTAGCTTGAGGAAGCATGGGGAATTACGTGCAAGTAAGATGCCTGCACTGTTGTTTCTATGTAGATTAAAAGCACTCCAATGAAAGAAAGAAAACTACTGACCTTAAGGTCGTATCCATTCCTATGCATTGCGTCCTCATGAAGCCATGCTGAGGCCCAAACAGATTTGTGTGGAACTGGAGGGCAGTATTATATGTGATGCACTGAAAATAAAAGATTTAACTGGAAAGTGGCAAAAAGGAAACGAGATCATTGTGAAAACATTATTTCAAATAATTGGGGTTTTGTTTGCTTGTTTTAGTTGAAATGAAAGTGTTGCCTCAAGAAATCATTCAAAGCCCACCATGGCATCCCAGGTTTGAAGAGCCGACGATTTGCCCACCATTAGGTTTTGCCAGGTATGTGCCTTTTTTTCTTTCAAAATATGATTATTTTTACTGTGAATAGCTTCAATCTTATGTGACAATTTGATGAATTATTTTCAATTTGTTGCGGCATTTCAAAATGCAAAAATAAGAAAGTAGAAAATTTTATCCTAGGAAAGTTTTGTTGTTAAAAGGAAAAAAAAAAGAGGAAATGCATTCTGTTTAAGGTAGATGTTTCATCCTATTTTTTCAAAGCACCTTCAGAAGCTGTAGGAAGTTATTTCTGATTAGTAGGTATTGTCTTGCATTGATAAAATGGAAGTTAATGAGAATGTACCTATTTGGATTTTTAAAAATGTTTTTTTTTTTTCATTCCAACAAAAAACAGTCTGACATCTCTCAAAATACAATGAATAAAACTGCCTGAAAACAACAATATTATCTTGTAGTTAGTACCTGGAGTATAAAGTACAGTGCCATAATCCTTTCAAGCTATATTCCTACGTGTGCCTTCATGAATTTCCAGTCAGTTTCCATTTCTCTTCCTGTTATTAGTTATCTATGCTTTTCTGTCTCCTTTAGTGAATACTCCTAGTTGCTCTCCAGCCCCATAACTTTATAGAACAAGTCTGTTTAATAGTCTCTCATTACTAATTGTAGTCCTGGAAAATTATGTTATTTTTCCTCAATTCCATTTATTTCAGATAGAATTTTGACTACTTTAATCAGGCTTTCTGAGGGGGGCCCATACCAGCAGATTGATAGAATGCAATGATGTGTGCCTTAAAACATTTTTTAAAATACGAATTAAATTGGTATGGCTGGAGCAATGTTCTGCAGCCACCAATTTTTCCATTAATTATGAGGGCTGCTCTGAAAGTAATGCCTTCAGTTTTCTTGTGTTGGCCCATGATGTCAGAGGCAGATGTTGGTAGAGGGTGAACCTTCCCACCAATCTCCCAATCCGTGTTGTTGCCATGTGACAGATGGCAGCAGAGGGGCAGTCTGACATAATGGCATCTGACATGGAAGTGTGTGTGAAGCAAAGGTGTGTCACTGAATTCCTCTCTGAGACAAACCACTGACATTTATTGATGCTTGCTGAATGTTTATGGAGACCAAAAAATGTTGGGTGGTGTGCTTCAGCAGTGGTGACAGCAGCAGTGGGTCACCTCTGCAGGTACAGATTTGTATGAGCACAGCATGCAGGCTCTTGTTCATCACTGGCAAAAATACATAACTAATGGTGGTGACAGTGTTGAAAATTAGTGGCTTGTGGCTGAGAAGTTGGTCCATCGGGTAGTGTTTCCATGGAAATGAATAGGAGGCATTACTTTTGGAGCAACCTTTGGTCCACTGTGGGAGAACTTACCCAAGATAGGATTGCTTCTCTCCTTTATTTGGGGAGTGTCACGTTCTAAAAGATCATTCTCCTTCACTCCTGTATGATGTTGTGTCTGTCTGCAAAGAAGAAACGTGTGATTCTGTAATGGTGTGGATGATGCTGCAGGTGCCTAGTGATTAAAACAAGACAAGCTCCGCCATTTTCTTTGATAGAAAATGCTGAAAAAACTGAACAGAATATGCAGTGAGGATAGAGAGTTATGTGAGAATCTGTTTGGTCCTTCATGCTTTATGCGACTTTGTACTGTTCTTTGATTAAAAAGCCAGTTGTATTTATCTTGAAGTCTGTTTCTGATCAAAATCTGTAGCTATTTTGCTGTGTAAACTGGTAACAGAAATAGTTATTAGAAATAAATGGTGTCAAAAGCTAACTGTGGGTAACTGCCAATCGGATTAAAATATATTTGTTTTTAATAAGGGAGTGCTTTAAAATTAAATAGGATTCAATTTATAGGTGAAGAACACCTCATATAAACTATTTATGAAATATCAGGAGTCATCATTGAAACGCTGGAGAAATAAGGCTACAGCTGTTTGGAAAAAGCAAGTGACAACTTCTGGAAGAATAAAAATGATGCTTCTTAGCCAGTACCATCCTTAGCTTACTTCTCTGTTAGAAATAACATCCATTCTAAGTCATAGTGTCAGTTGTTATCAATTATATTTCTTTTTAATCTTCATTGCATGTAATACATAGAACAACATTTTAAGTAATGATTGTTTGAGGTAATGGAAATTTCTGCTCTTTTTTGTTTCTATGTATCATCTGCTTGTCTTGTCTGTGTTGTTCCTGTATTAATATCATTGACAATAGCAGCCAGAATGAGCTAATTATTTGTTATTTTCAGTAACTTACATTTCTTCCAGTGTAATTCCATCAGTTCAATACTCAGGATACTGCGGGGCTTCTGTAAACTAATTGGTTTGCAAGTTGTTGCTTCTGTTCTTTTTTTTCCCCTTGGCTGCAGGTGTTTGTTTTCTCCTGTTCATCTTTTTGTTTGTTTTGTAAGTGTGAAAGTTATTCCCTGTTAGAATTCAGAACTTTATATACTGACTGCATGGCAGATGATAGTTTAGATTGTATATGATTTTGTGGGGCTTTTTTTCCCGATTTCTCAGTATTTAAATATCTTTGAGAAGACAGTAAGAAGGCATCAGGCTTTCCTTTATTCCAATTTGAGCTTGTTTTTAACTGCAGTGTAGATTATATTGCAGAGAGGTGACAGTGATGCCTAGAAATTTGTATCTTGTAGATGAACGTTTTGCTCTGGGGGTCTGGACCTTTTATTTTTTTTCCCATCTATATCTGCTGTTTTCTTTCTGTGCTTATGAGGTAAAGAAGGCTCATTTTTGCAGCCTTAAGGTACAAAGATCTGCCTTACGTGTGGGTGTGTTTTCTGAATCGCTCACATTTAATGATCCAAAGATACTGCTTTTTAAATATATTTTGTTAAGTGATATAAACCTATTGTGTCTCAAAATACAGTTTACATCAGTTTAAAATCTATAATAACTGCCTTATCTTCTTTTTCCTAATGACACTGCTCGTCTTCCTAAATTGTGACTGTTTTTCTATGAAAATTTTGATACTGATGAAACATTGGCATTGATTTTCACTGAATTTTTATGGTAATATCCATAAAGTGTGTATTTTCGGTGGTCAGCAGCAATTCTGTTACGTGCTGTGGGAAAGCACAAGCTTCTGTTGGTGTATATCAGTAACAGTAAACTTGGGAACAAATTTCAATGCTCTGTTTGTGCCACAGGTTTTCACTATTATATTGTTTGAAATTCAGACACGTCAAAATATCTCTAGGTTGCTTAGCTATTTTGTTTTCATTTAAATGAATTTCAGAAAGTGTCTGGTATTCTCAGAGCAGTGAAGAGTACGATGCTTATATTAGCTAACATTATGAAAAGAACTGACTCTCATACCTGTAACAAAAGTCAGCACTATCATACAGGCAGAGAAAGAGAAAGTTACAGATTTATGTGGAACACTGATGTTGAATTTCTTTTATCTTTGAATGATAACCAGACAATCTTTGTGGTTTTTTAAAGGAAAAAAAAAAAAAAATCACATTACTTTTATGAAGATAATGTCGTCTGTAGCTGGGTTATAAGAATCTGTTTGAATAGGCTTTATGGTCAGCAAGTGCATATCATCCTTTAAAATTCAAGGCATCTCCTCTGTCTCAGAGTAGCAATGCTGGCTTAAATGAAATGTGAAATGAAGTATGGTTCAAATTCGAAATCAAATTTTTGCACTAATAAATGTATAGGAATATTCCCATTTCTTTCAGTGCCTTGTGTATTACCTCTTTGTTGGACCTCTTTTTGTAACGTGCTGCTCAAATTGTGGGCAGCAGAGAACAGACTTAAAAGTATACATTGCACTAAGGAAAGTGTATATGTTTGAGTTGGGTTTAGGACTTTTTTTTTTTTTTAATTTTAAATGCACAATAGCTTAGACCACGTTGGTCCATACTGATAATGCAAAAAACGAAATGATTCTGGTTCAGAAAGCAGTTCAGATATTGATGGCTTTATCAGTTATTCAGCTAATATACAACTTCTGATTTAGACAGAAATATCATGTAACTCAGTCCTTGAAAGCCAAACCAATTCTAATTTCTTGCAGAAATAAGGATTTGAAATGGCTGAAGACCAAAAAATTAAAAAGATATTTGTATGTGTTTACAGAAAACATTACTTTGTCAATATTTCAGTATTTAGCTCTACTTGGCAATGCTAATATATTATACATGTCGTGGAAGTCTGTGTTAGCAGCTCACAGTGTTTCTTCTAATTTTTTTCATTTAAATTTAGGATTCATTTGATCAAAGACAAAGATGGCATAGATGATTATTTGGCGAAGAATATCAAAGGGTTGTCAAAACAAGAAGCTGCGGCGTAAGTTGGCTTTTTCAAGGCATTTTAACATCCATAAGTTTATTGTTTCCTTTGTTTCTAGTCATCATAATCATTTAAATTTCAAGTTCCCTAGGCCCTACCCTTTTTAGTGGAACTTGGCATTTAAAAATTGAAGCTGATATTAAATAATGATGGATCATTTCTCCTGATCTTAAACGTATCAAAGCATTTAACTCCTTGGCTTTATTAATTTGTGTATTTACCAAGGTATTACATCATGTTTGCAACGCTATAGTTAAGATTGTGTCAGTAATTATATTTGAAATTTTGCTCTTTCCCCTCCTCCTTCCCTCCCTTTTTTTTTTCCCTGAACCTCTGTGAAATATTTCCTCTGGGGTGCAAGCTTAGTATATATACGTATACGTTCTTGTAATTTTGAATTATTATTTAGCCATGCTCAACTGCTGACTTCTACGGTGTAGCATTTGAAACATCATTAGATATTTAAAAACCCAGTGAATGAGAAATATCTAGATAACTTTTGATTTCTTACAGCTGAGGTATTTATACTTAGACATTACGAGAGTCTACTGACTGAATTATTTTTCTGGAGACTTAGAACAGATCTAGGGTTCAGCACCATCAAAATTAATGAAAGAATTCTTACAAATCTGAATTGCTGGTTGCTTAAGTGAGATGATTTATTTATTTCAATATTTAAATAATAAAAAGATGCATATATAAGGACTCTAGGCACCTTAACAATTAATATTGCAAGATCACGCTAGCAGCATGGGAAAAAAAAAAAAAAAAAAAAATTCTATTAACCAGATTGGAATTTGACCTAACAGGCAAAATGCTTCTCTTCTTTCTAACCTAAGAATGTACATGCAAAACTTCTGTAAGACACTTTCAAATGAAAATCTAGAAAATTACAAGGTTTAAATTTAGGGGCAATAACTTTAGCGGCGTCCTAAAGCCCTACCACATAATACTCAGCCAGTGGACTTGCTTTCTTTTTCTACAATACCCCTGAGTCACCTTCATTTTTTTATGATAACATAATCTGGCTAATAAGCATTCTGACTGACGGTATAAAAAATGCCATTTATCTGGTCAGGTGATGTAGGAGAACAATCTTTTTAAAGCAAACTCAAGCCTCACTACTTTGACTTGCATTAGGATCAGGTTGAAAGATGATAAACAAGAAGTTGGTTCAGTGATGGGACTGTGCAGGACCTTAATATCAGATCATCATCTGAAAGACTGCAAAGTTCAGACTTTTCCTTCCTTTCTATTAAAGAGATGCTGTTGCAGTCTGTGGGATCCAGCGGTGTGGCAGTGACAGGAAAATTATTTAGAAGCAGTGGAGAGAAGGACCATGTTAATGCTCTGAGTACTTGTGGCTGATGTGGAACAGTTACTGATGCTTTAGGAAGGAAGACCTTTGGGCTTCAAAGCGCATGTTACAGCTCTGATTTGATCACATCAGCCTTTTACTGGTGCTAAAATTACAAATAAATGTAACTTAAAAAAAAATCCTATGATATTTCTCATTTCACACACAAACTCTGAAGGAGGTTTCCTTGCTGGTTTTCTTTTCTACAAACTACAATTAAATGAGAATTTTAACATCTGTTCTGCATTGCCTAGGCAAAAGCCTTTATAATGGTTTCCTCAGTATTTTGTAATGTGCTGTTTTGCAAAGTTAGAAAATCTCAAAGATTAAAGCTGAAATATCATATATTTTCTGCTTTATTTGTAGGCAGATTTGGTACCTTTCTGAAAATATATATATTCATACCCTATATTTTTAGCTACTCTGAAAATTTCAGGTTTTTTAACCGTAGTTACAAAATTTCTGTGATGTATAATTCTTGAGTAATGTCCATAAATGTATACAATCACTTAAGTTAACGACCTAGCAGCTACACAGTTACATTACTACTGGGATAATGTAATTGTAAGAGCAGCAAGTGCATCAAACTTAATTTTAAGCAAATTTGAAAGAAAAGCAATGCTATAGTGATATTACTGAAATCAGTGTTATGCTTTGTGTGCCTCAGCAGACAAAATATTTTTTATTTTAAAAGTGTGAGAAATGGCTTATAATATGTTGCGTAATATGAAAATATTTCTTTCATTCCAAAAGTAAAGCACCACTTCTATAAGGACAGGATAGCTTTCTCTTACTGGCTGAATACCCATGCATTTGTTGAGATACTGAAAATCTATTCCCTAAATAAATCTTGTTTAAATTTTGAATAGCATATAACAAAGATTGTTTTCTTATTTCTGTTTGGCTTGGTTTGTTTTCTCCAGAAGATTTAACACTGAAAGTGTTTCAAAATCAGAGCAGAAAGCCCCCAGTTTTAGCCAGTGCAATGGTGTCATGTAATTGGATCGACAAAATACCAAGATTTTAAAAAGAAATTTACTTTTTTTTAACTAAAACAAATAATTCTACAGAGATTTGCAGCTGTGCTGGCAGCAGTTATGCACATACCAGTACTGTATGTTTAAATATGTATTCATTAGTGGCAAGATGTGCTGATCAATGGATTCTTAAATCACAAGTTGTGAGTCTGGCATTCACTCTACTGACAATTACTAGGGTACAAGGATGGGAATCATCTTTGCAATTTGTAGGTGAAAACAATCAGCCAGTGTACTACTAATAACACTGCAACCAAGATTACTTTCCTTACTGTAATTTTTCAGTGGATGATATTTACAGGTAAACTGTTGTTCCTATGTAATTTAATAATTATTGTTTACTAATGGGTTATTAAATTAGCCTCTGTATTGCTAGTTATTATTTGACAAAACACCATTTCAGTGACTATCCTGCTTAATGTTAAACATCCTTTTATTTTTTTTTCCACTGACTATTAGATGACAATTTTATCACCTCTTAAATACACGAGTTTAAGGATAGTGTCACATTTGAGAGCAATATTCTTCAAAATTATTTCCTAAAATTGTATCCTACACATTATCCTTTTAAAATAAGACAGCCTGCTTTCTTTCTAGTTGAAGAAAAAAAAAAAAAAGGTTGCAGTCATTTTTCTGTTATACATTTTTCTGTATACTCTGTTCCAAAGTTAGCAACTAAGAAAAATTCCTGAAATCTGCTATTGTTATAATTTACTTCTTTTTGTGTGTGTGTGTGTGGAAAAATGCAGAGATTTTCGTAAGTAATTTTTTGTCCCCCAGTGATGTGATAGACAGTGCTAAAGGAAAGCAGTCCTTTAATTATATCAAAACAATATATTGATTTTTTTTTTCCTTAATTTTGTTTTGTTTTCTTCCCTAAGACAGTAACCTGAAATCAGAAGTAGTGTTGTGTGAGAAGCTGGAAATAGAAGGGAGGGAGCAGGGGTTGAGAGAAGGAAGATTCCCATTAATGCAGAATGTGACTGGTTTCATGCCACAGGATTTTGTGAGCTTACGAGGTTGGCTGACCACTGGCCTTTATGGTGCTTCCCCTGATACTGTTCTTTGTCTCGACTCACCAACTCATTAATGGCTCAAAATTAGTTTGCAGTAAAAATTAAAATTTGTCCTTATGACTGTAAAGTTCATAACGAACTATGAAGTAAGCCATTTTCCATCAAAGGATTGATTCCAGGACTGAATGTTCAAATGAAATTGGAGCCTAGAATGGTCCAGAATTTGATAATGTCATTGCTGTCTCCTAATCTTTTTTGTCAGGGCCAGAAAGATCAAGTAACAGCTCTCTCCTTTTCATACAAATGAAACCATCTGGAGAAAACCATTTTAGCCAAAAAAAAAAAAAGAAAATTTAAAGACTAGAAAGAGATACTCTTAAATCTTTCTGATGAGAGAAATAGCTTTGCTTAGTAGTAACAAAAAATGTCGCATTACTGATTTCACTAGGTGTATTTCTGTGAATCAGCTGATGGGATTAGACTTGTCGTGTCCTCACTTGAGACTCATTGGTAGTCAGAAGACAGCTAAATTATACAGAGAAGGTACTGGCTAACCTACTTGAGCAAAAACTGTAGTATTTGTTTTCTGTCTCGTGAGTGGTTGAGCTTACCTTGATAAATCTACCTCAGTGAAGATGTGCTCTGATATGACTTTTTCAGAGAGGAGACAGGATTATCATGTATACATTGGGTCAGATGTTTTTGAGATATAGCGAATTGTTAAGCTAGGAATTCACCAAAGACTGGTCCGTTTAAAGATTAATTGGATCAACAAAAGGAAAAGGCATTCATTCTCTGATAAGATGTTGCCAGCACAATTGCGAGCCAGCCAATCCAGTAGTTGGGAAGAGCACTGCAGATTGTATACAGGTGAATGTCTCATTCCTCATAGATTTCTGCAAGGTTTTCCCTATGAAAGTGAGAGCATTTTCATATTCGGCAGCTTTTGTATTAAGAGCAGGACCCTCGGTATCCTCCAAGTTCTTGGATTTCTTCCTATGAAGCAGAGATTCACAGTGTTAGAAGTAAAAGACAGTATTTTGCTTCTCTTTTTCTAATGAGATGTGACACTGGAATTTTCCACTAGACTGTGTGGGTCCTTAAAACTTTGAAATTATTCCTCTGCGATTTCATATTTTATCAGAAAGATCTGTGATAATTTCAAAGGCAGGAGAGTAGTAAACATTCCTCTTAAATTACAGGATTTGTGATTTTTCCAGTCAAATGATTTCCATCTCCTGCACTGAGCTACGAGGAGTGAGGTAGTGTTAGTCAGACTTACACCTTTTTTTTTTTTTTGCTTCTTCCAGCCACTGTCGAAAAGTGGTGTTTCCTGAGGAAGACAGCTTCTCAGTATAAGAAACCTGAAATATATATATATACTTTTTTTTTTTTTTCCTGTAGGAATGATGAATAGTGAATATGGTAACTCTTTTCTTCTACAAACCTTTGTCCTGCTCTGCAAAGAAGTGCAAAGGGGATTTCACATAAATTTAATTCAACTGACTAGGTTAATCACCCCATATAATCAATGGAAATAAGTAAGAATAAATCATTTACTTAGTTGAACCCCCTCTTTGAGTCTTC